AACTACAAACTCTCACGATGATAATAGAGGGTGAAGAATAAACACCGATCGATCTTGTTGTTGGCCTCACATTTTACTAAACAAAACGACACTTTTTAACACTCGACTAATCTCGACGTGTGTGAAATCACTCACAAGTGAAACTTGTGAACTTGTGAATACACACAAGTATCAACAATTCAGCAAGACTCTGTATAAGCAGCTCAATTCCATTCATTCGACAAATTAACCCACAGATTTCCCGATCGACGCGACGGATTCGTAAAAATCGTGGTGCAAAAAGAAGAACAGGTACGGGTATAGCCGTGCGAATGTTTCACAAATGTCACGATGCATTTACTTAACATTCACACTTCCAAGCGAAAACCGCTTAACGGCTGCTTCGAGAGGAGCCTCTTCACAGGACGCTCCAGAAACCGCGCGACTCAAGAGCGAAAAGGGAGAAAAAAGAAAAGAAGAACTGGTCATTTATCTACGGTGCGTGCACTGACAGCGCGTACACGCAGCGTCACGTAAGGTTTTTTCGAAAAATTTTAGAGTACCCTCGTACGTTTCCACGTGCTAATTTTAAAGGAACCATTAACGCTACGAGCGTCCTCGGTCATTAAGATAAGAGTAAGTGCTACTAAGTGTCTCGCGGATAAGAGACGTGACCAGCATCTCTGTCGCATAGAGACGAGCCGTTTCCGAGAGCGTGTTGTCAAAGAGCCGCGAAACGTGTCTCTCTTTATTTCGTATTGTTCGATCGGAATTGCAATAATCGGAATAAGTGTGATTTTCACGTGAGATTTTGCTGTCAGCTTCGTTTAGTAATATGCACCAAAGTTTTTTCTTCATTTCTGTACAAAATGTTCGTACGTTAAAATAGTTCTAATCGTCTATCGTAAATAATAAAAATTGATAACATAAAATATAAATAAATGTTTATTGAAATATTCGTGCTGTAAAGAACATTATGAGAAGTTTAACTTTCTCATAATGAACATTTAATATTAGTGAATTGAACATTTTTTTTTTTTCTTTCTTTTATCAGAAAAGCTTCGTTTCCATATTATTTGAAATTAACTTCCTGCTACGTCTCGCGCTCGCTTAACTGACAACTTTTTCCGATCCCTTCTGTTACACTTGCGTGTAATTTATTGTTTCGACGACTATTACCTTCGCTCATTTTGCTTCAATAAACATGCATTTATTGCTTACTATTTCGTACGTTGATGTCTCCATTATCCGCACGCGGTTCCTTAAACTATTTGCTTTACGAGGAGCATACACTAATTATTTCAATTGTATTCTTCGCTCTCTTTTTTTGCAAATAAGGCAAAGTTGTTTTCAACTAAAGTGAAACTTATGATAAGGTCAAAATTGAAAAGTTCAATTAATCGTTTGAAAGTGCTTAGCTTCGAAAGACGTTTTAATGTAAACAATATTCAGGTAAAATTTTACACTTCATAATTATAACATTAATTAAATTTGTTATACATAATTAAATAATAATTAAAAGTGTTGTAATAAAATGCTTTATTTTTAGTATCAAAAGTTGGTATAAATAATTAAGATACAACTTTCGATAAATTTCAAAACAAGCTGCTAGAGCCACCTTTAAAAAATGCTATTCACTATTACTGTGTGAATGAAATATTTTACGTACTTTCCTTGTGCCACAAACTGAATTACCGATATGAATGAAACAATAATAATAGTACAGAGTCCTACACTATACAGCATCGTGAAAATAGAGAGCTTGCAAACCGAATCTTATTATAAATAGAGTGTAGACTAAAATGATTGCCAAATGTCACATTGTTTCATTTGCTATGTGATATAAATACAATCTGGACACACTACTCTAATGAACTTTATGTTATATACGAGAGGGACATTAATAGTTTACTACAAGAAGATCAAGAGAATCTACATCATTTCAAAAACAAAGTACTTATCACCTCACCCATATGTGATTACAAAACGAAAAAAAGATAGGAACATGCGTATATAAAATTTGATAAAGAAAACTAAAATTATTATTTCTATGAAATAAACCTTCACACTGGAAATTGTGTGAATTATCATTCGTAAAAATGATAACACAAATGCTATTACCTTGTGAGCTTACCGTAACAAGGCAAAGACCGGAAGTACCACGAAGAGTTCGATGTTTGCGAATTCGGGATACTACCTGCCATGATCCTTAGTGATAGCTTTATATAGGGAAATTCTCTCACACCTTACGTTCACAAGACTATCATTAAAATTCCCCCTCTGTTAGTCTTTTATACACCTCTACGATATTATCAAAAGTTTTAGAATACCTATTGTTAGTAACTGGTAATAAAATCCACAAAAGCAGTAATTATTGTTAGGTTATATTGTGGCTGAATTCACTGAACTGTAGAAAATTGTACGATAAATTTTCATTGAGACATCAGAAGTTTCTGGAGGGTTGTTAAAATCTCAAAATGATGATGTAAAATACAGGGTAGAAAGGCATTGATGTTAACGTATAATTACTAGATAATCGAGACGTTTGGAAAACTTTATCCGAACAATGAAGAAAGGGCTCGTATACATTGTATGTATAATATCATCTATTTAGTTTTCTTAGTATTATCAATAATATCTGAGTTAACGCGAAATTGTTCCTTGCATTTTTGCCAAACAGAATTTTTTTAAATCAAGCGTCTTAATTGCCGTATAACAAAATAACGAATTTCAAAAATTCGTAATAAATTTTCATTTCCTGCTGCCATTGTTAGGAAAAGATTATTACAAGAAGAATAAAAACAAACAAAATTTTTATTCTAGTTTAACATGTGTTCAGTGTGTAAATAATAATACTGACATTAGTTAATATTAATTTGAATTGCATTCATTCATCACTATAAAATTTAAACAGAGTCAAAGATTTTTAAAGTTTTAACGAATATTTTTTTAATTTTAGTAATATTTATTTCAAGCGGGCGCATTTAACTTTAAATATTTACCTTGCTTAGCATTATGGTTTTAAATGACATTGAATTTTTTTATCTTACTTTGTTATCTCATTGAAATACAACATTTACAAAAATTCATCTTTTTTTACGTAATGCATAATTTAAGTTAATAATAATTTGAATGTTTAAATTTAAATTCATAATACAACTTTTATTGACTGCCATCTAAATATTAAATATTCAATACCTTTTTTTATTGAACTTACGATGATTATAATATTAGTATAGAAAGAAATACACTGTTCAGTGTTTGACAGTAACATTTATTTTTCAATCATTGTTAAAAGCTTTATGTATAAAACAGACCTTCTGTACATTTATAATATCATTAAAGTACACTCAGTCTCCAAAATCCACTACGATGTCCTTTTCAACTGAGAATTACATTTCTTACACACACGTGTCAGAAAATAGTCGAAAACGAATTTTTTTTATTACTTCTATAAAGAATATGAAGAACTTAAAAATGTTTTCAATCTGAATCAATAAAAAATTACTATGATCCTCGTATACTGAAATAGTTCTTAAATTCTTTATAGAAGAAATTGTGAGTTGCATAAACTTAAAATTTATTACACAGTGATATTTCAAAAGACGAAATTCGTAATCTTCTCATGATGCGTACACGTACTGTTGAATGTATTCATTTTTTGTTATGAAAACATTTTTCATAAATTGAATGACATTAATTGTCCTATCCGTTGTATAAGCCTTATAGGTAATAGCTTCATCTATTGAGAATATTCGCACTGCTTTCTATGGCACGACCTAAGATATAAAGTCATTAAATGACTTTAATATCACAACAGTCTCGCCTAGGAAACTGGATAAATAATTTTGAATAAACCTAATATCAAATAAAGACTCTATTATGCAGAGTCGAAGCAGCTGTGTTTTAAATCAAAATTAAAACTTATTTTTATCTATAAAAATGGCAATTGAACGTGATTCTTCCTTAACAGATAAAAGTTAAATCCGAATAATATTGAGTTGTAAACTGCATTTGTATATATAACTGAAAAATCTATAATTAATATCGTTAATTTTTCA